ATGGGATTTCTCCTGATGCGGTTTTCTGATGTATGGGAACTACGGGTTTTGCATGCTGTATCCTTCTTTCTGATGTATTTGATGACTCTCATTGGGAATTTTCTCATTGTTATTGTCACCACACTGGACAAGAGCCTTCATACCCCCATGTACTTTTTTCTCAGGAATCTGTCCATCTTGGATGCATGCTACATTTCTGTAACGGTCCCAAATTCATGTGTCAACTTCCTGCTTGACAGCAATGCCATTTCAAAGTTAGGATGTGTAGCTCAGGTCTTCCTCGTGGTGTTTTTTGTATGTGTGGAGCTACTGTTCCTCACTATCATGGCCCATGACCGCTACATGGCCATCTGCCAACCTCTGCACTACTCTGTGATCATGAAGCCTCGAGTCTGTGTTCAGATGACATTGGCTTCCATCCTCAGTGGTCTTCTCTACTCAGGATTCCACACAAGCTACACCTTCAGGCTGCCCTTCTGTCATTCCAAAATTATTCATCAGTTTTTCTGTGACATTCCCTCTCTGCTGAAGCTCTCCTGCTCTAACACTTTCAGCAATGAGATGATAATCCTTGCCTCTAGTCTGGGGATTGGTGGAGGCTGTTTCATCTTCATCATCAAGTCTTATATTCACATATTTTCTACTGTGCTCAAGTTCCCAAGTGGAGCAGACAGAACAAAGGCTTTCTCCACCTGCATTCCTCATATCCTTGTGGTGTCGATTTTCCTCAGCTCAGGATTCTACGTGTACCTAAGGCCATCTGCAGTGTCTGCAACCATCCAGGATATGGTGCTTTCCATATTTTATTCCATAATTCCTCCACTCTTCAACCCCATTATCTATAGCCTTAGAAATCAACAAATAAAATGTGCTATCAAAAAAATCATGCAAAAACTCTTTTAGGCAACAAATGTATAGGCAATTTTTAGTCTAACCTACATTATTAGTTGACTTTTTTTTTTTTCAGCAATAAATTGAAATACATTGGGGCATATAGATGTACTTTATGTAAATTTCATAAATAAATTCACTAATATCATTTATCAAAATCTTTATTTTCTGGGTGTTCTCAATTATTTGGATTGACATTAGGTAAGATATCTGGTGGATGAATAAGCAAGCTCCTGTCATGCATGTTTAACATGTTAAAAGATTCCATTTATTATTTCAGTATTAAAGAGCTTTTAAAAAAATAGTCCTTAGAAATATATTATGTTAAACTTTAACTTCTGTATTCATATACACTTAAAATATTGGAAATAGTTGAAAGAAAACTGTATCAATTCTTTTGAGGAAAAAATAAGTATCAATAAAAGAAATGCTATGAAAAGAAGGGTGGGTTTGGCTGATGAAGCTGTGGTGTACAAAGGTATCAGAAACATTTTACACTAATTTCTTAATATGGTGATGAAACTATATAGATTAGGTATACATACAATCAACCAAAATTTTGTCAAAACAATTTCAATTTCCTGAATTTTACATAGAGAAACTGTTTATACACACTCACACATTATACACACACACACACACACACATATATACATACATATACACACATATACACATTATATATATATATGTGTACATATATGTGTGTATACATATATACACACACACCTACACACACCCACAACTCATCTGTCAATTTGTCATAATGTAGTGGTTTGCATGTTGCTGTGAGGCTGGGGGCCACCGGTATTTTAAATACCTGCAGGGTCACCCATGGTGGACCAGGTTCAATGGAACTTCCAGACTGAGACAGACTTGGAAGGACAAAGGGACCATCTACTTCTCAAAGAATTGGCCAATGAAAACCTTATGAACAGCAGTGAAACACTGTCTGATATATTACTGTAAAACTTTACAAATAGTCCTGAAATATTTATTTCTAATCAGAAAAAATGGAAATCATCAAACATGGAGTGGAACACATAAAGATCAAGATTATAGGCATTAGTGAGCTAAAATGGACTGGTTTGGGCCATTTTGAATCAGACAGCCATATGATCTACTATGCCAGGAAAAAGAAATTGAACTGGAATAGCATGGCATTCATCATCACAAAGAATATTTCAAGATCTATCAGAAGTAAAATGATAGGATAATATCCATATGCCTACAATGAAGACCTGTCAGTACTACTGTTATTCACATTTAATGACCAACCACCAAAGCCAAAGGGTTGTTGTTGTTGTTGTTATGTGCCCTCGAGTCAGACCTGACTCATAGTGACCCCTCCTTGGGTTTCCGAGGCAGTATCACTACGGAAGTAAAGTGCCCCATCTTCCTTCTGAGGAGTTGTTGGTGGGTTTGAACTGCCAGCCCTCTGGTTAGCAGGCCAGTGCCTTAGACACTATGCTACCAGAGCTCCCAAAGCCAAAGAGTAGGATATTGAAAATTTTACACAAACTTCTGAAGTCTGAAATTGACTGAACATGCATTCAAGATGTGTTCATTATCACTGATGACTGGGATGAAAAATTTGGAAACAAAGAAAAATCACCAGTAGTTGGAAATATACTGGAGATCCTATTATAGAATTTTGTAAAACCAATGACTTACTCATTCCAAATACCATTTTTCAACAACATAAACAGTGGCTATATTCCTGGACTTCACCAGAGGGAGTATGCATGAATCTGATTAACTACTTCTGTCAAAAGAGGCAATGGAGAAGCTCAAAAACTTCAGCCAAAACAAGGACAGAAGCTGACTGTAGAACAAAACATCAATTACACTTATGCAAGTTCAAGTTCAAGCTGAAGACAATTAAAACATTTCCACAAGAGCCAAAATATGACTTTTACTATGTCCCACCTGAATTTAGAGACCAGCTAAAGAATAGATTTGGCACATTCAGCACCAGTGATCAAAAACCAAATGAAGTGTGGAATGATATCAAGAACATCATCCGCAAAGAAAGCAAAGGGTCATTAAAAGACAGGAAGGGAAAAAAAGACCAAAATGGATGTCAGGAGAGACTCTGAAACTTGCTATTGAATGGAGAATAGCTAAAGCAAATGGAAGAAATGACGAGCAAAAAAGCTGAACAAAAGATTCCAAAGAGCAGATGGAAAAGACAAAGTCAATTATTATAAAGAAATGTGCAAAGACATGGATTAAAAAAAAAAAAAGGGAAGAAGCTCAACATTTCTCAAGCTGAAGAACTGAGGAAACAATTCAAGGCTCAAGTAACAATATCAAAAGATTCTATGATCAAAATATTGGATGATGCAAGAAACATCCAAAGAAGATGGAAGGAATACACAGAGTCACTGTACCAAAAATAATTGGTCAGTGTTCATTCATTTCAGGAGGTGGCATATGATCAAGAACAAATGGTATTGAAGGAAGAACTCAAAGATGCACTGAAAGAGTTGGTGAAAAACAAGGCTCTGGGAATTGGCAGACTCCTCACTGAGATGTTTCAACACAGATGCCTTGCTGGAGGCATTTAGTCTCCTATACCAAGATATATAGCCAACTGATTGGAAGAGACCCATATTTGTACCTATTCCAAAGAAAGATGATCTCACAGAAAGTCGCAAGTATTGAACAATATCATTAGTATCACACTCAAGTAAAATCATACTGAAGATAATTTAAAAACTGTTGCAGCAGTGTATTGACAAAGAACTTCCAGATATCCAAGCTGAATTCAGAATAGGATGTGGAATGACAGATAACATTGCTTATGTAATATGGATCTATCTTAGCTGAAAGCAGGGAGTACCAGAAATATGTTTACTTGCGTTTTATTGACTATGCAAAATTATTTGATTGTGTGGATCATTACAAATTATGGATAAGATTAAGAAGAATGAGAATGCCAGAACACTTAATCATGCTCATGACAAGCCTGTACATAGACCAGCAGCTGTTGTTGGAACAGAACAAGGGGATATAGTACATGGTTTAAAATCAGGAAGGAAGTATGTCATGATTGTATACTTTCCCTATATTTATTCAATATGTGTGCTGAGCAAATAATCCAAAAGGCTGAACTATATGAAGAACAACATCCATCAATATTGGAAGGAGGCTCATTAACAACTTACAATATGCAGAAGACACAACCTTACTTGCTGAAAGTGGAGATGACTTGAAGCACTTACTGATGAAGATTAAGAACTGTGGTCTGCAGTATGGATTACATCTCAACATAAAGAAAACAAAAGTTCTCACAACTGGAACAGTAAGTAGAATCACAATAAATTGAAAAAAAAATATTGAAATTGTCAAAGATTTCATATTACTTTGTTCCACAATCAACACCAATGGAAGCAGCAGTCAAGACATCAGACTAGGTATTGCCCTTGAGAAATCTACTGTAAAAACATCTTTAAAGTGCTGCAGAGCAAAGATACCTCTTTGAAGACTGTTGTTTGTTGTTGTTGTGCTTTCCATCAAGTCAGATCCTACACATAGGGACCACTCCTTGGGTTTCCAAGGTGGTATCACTACAGAAAAGGATTCCCCAACCTTCCTTCCAAGGAGTGGCTGGTGAGTTTGAACAACCAAACTTCTGGTTAGCAGTCAAATACTTTAAGCACCATGCCACCAGAGCTCCTTCTTTGAAGACTAAGGTGGACATAACCCAGCCCATGGTGTTTTCAATCCCCTCATATGCACGGTATGCATGTAAAAGCTGGGCAATGAATGAGAAAGACCAAAGAAGGGTTAATGCTTTTGAGTTGTGGTGTGGGTGAAGAATACAGAAGGTACCATGGACTTCCAGAAGATGAAAGAATCTGCCCTGGAAGAAGTGCAGCCAGAATGTTTCCTTGGAGGAGAGAATGGCCAGACTTCCTCTCACTTTCTTTGGTCATGTTTCAGAAGGGACCACTGGCTCGAGAAAAATACCATGCTTGTTAAGTTGTGGGTCAGCAAAAAAGGGAAAGACCCTCATTATAGGAGGAAGGTCCAACCCAAGGCAAAGTACCAGTCATTGAAAAAATACAAAAAGATATTGCTATATATTTGTTTTCAAAAATGGAAAACTGATGATGGCTTATTTTTTAATGAAATTAATTGAAAGGGATATCTGAAAAGCCAAAAAATAAATGAGAGAACTCCCAAAAAACAGAAAATAAAATACATGTTAATATAATCTGAATCATTTTTCATAAAATAGGTTAAAAATTTGAAAAATAACTATTAAGCAATACAAATTGACTCTTTTTCATAGGTTTTCATATATATTAAGAAAAACTTCCTTCTCTGTTTAGATATCTAGTAAGAATATAAAATAATGAAAGCAGTCTTGCATAGCATTCTAAAGCAATTTTGAAACCAAGTAATTTTCCTTCCAGGATATTGTTTTACTGTAAAGCCTATAATGGGAGCATCATTAGGAAGACAGAGAAATAGATATTAAAGAACAGGAGAATCATTGGGCAATAATGGGTTGAAAATTGGGCACAGGGAATATGAGGTGAAGAACTTATATTAATGTATATATAAACAGTAGGCATTTGGTAGCATCTGAGATTCAGAAAAAAAGTATTGGATAAATGAAACAATAAATGATCATTAAAAAAAAGACTAAAGGAAAATTATACTTACATTTAAATTACAGGAAGCTCAAGTGGAATGACACTCAGAATGAAACAATTGATTCAAAATTTTTAAATAATTGAATTATGGATTATGATCCAAGAGAGCAGACTAGGCCAATGTGCTACCCAGACCCTCTACAATAAATGAGTGAGAAAACAAGGTGAACAGCTACAGATGACAATCCTAGATCCCAAAGATTCAATGGAAATGAAAAGTAAGTACATCAAGTAATGCTGAGAGGAAGAGACTGAACAAAAACAGTGAACAAAAATTGGTAAAGTGCCAACTGTAGCAGTGCTGTTGTTGTTGTTCTTGTTGTTGTTAAGTGCCCTTGAGTCATT